GACTTTGATGTACAGTATTAATCTATTTCAATCAAATCTACAGAACAAGAAAATTCTTGAAATCCCCAAAGGATTTGGAAATGAGGAATATTTACTATATCTAGGTGTAGATGGGCAGAGATGCTGTCATATGAATGCTTTCTTTGTTGACTACCAGAAAGTCCTTTACAAAACCCAACACAGCAAACTGAAATTGTTAGTAAACGAAGGTCTTGATTCAATAGATATTTGTATAACTAGCAGCTATATTAAGAGCTGATGTAACAGTAACTGAGGACATAGAGAAGTGGAGCATGACAAGGATGTATACTCTCACCATTGCTTAATAATTTGTATTCTGAGAATATCTTTAGAGACACTGATTCAAATGAAGGGATCACTGTCAATGGAGAGCTTGTAAGGCAAAAATAAATAAATAAAATAAAATAAAAAAAAATACAAAAACATTGTGGCACCTTAAAGACTATCTGCTATATTTTATTTTCATGGACTTGTCTATGAAACCTCACATTAAAATATAGCAGTTAGCCTTTAAGATGCCACATTTTTTCCTTCTTTGCTTGATACACTAGCACTGACTAACATGACTACCTGTTCTAAAACTATTGTCAATGGAGAGGTTATCAACAGCATCTGACATGCAAATACAGTACTAAAAACTGATGCAAATGCAGTGTTATAAAAGTACTTTAAACTGATAAAATGGTCCCCAGGAGCTACTGAAGTCAATCAGTAAGTGATAGACACAGTCTGAAAATAAATCTTAAGGAAACCAAGGTCTTAATAATTAGAAAAAAGCAAATAGCCCAAGAAATGCACCAAAAGATCCAAAAATTAAGCTTGCATTGCAGTGAATGAACAAACCGTAGGATTATAGTCATCCAGCAAAATGGCTGGAGCAACTTCCTTAAAATTAAGAGCATGATCTGAAACACCAACTTTAAATTGACTTTAAGAATGTGTATTGCAGAGTGCTAATATTCTTGGTTCTCCTATATGGCATGGAATTAACACAGCCTAGTATAAAAAAGTTAGAAGTATCTGACATTTTGATCTAACTCATAATGCTAAAACTTTCCTGGATCAAGAGTTCGATCAATGAAGAAGTAGAATATATAAAGGCCAAGGAATCCTAAAACACATAAAATGCAAAAAAGCTGAATGCATCTATAACCGTGTAAGGAAAACTTAAATATTAGAGCTAATCATTTAAGATAAAGTAAACGGGCAAAGAAGTGCAAGAAGAAGCACTTTTTGGATTATAAACGTTTGAAATGAGATTGAATGCATTACAATATCCTTGTTTAGAGCTGCTGCATCAAAAGTCAAAATAGCCATTTTAATGTACAACCTTCAGTAGTAGAAAAACAAGATTTTTTTGTATTAATTCACAAATCAACTAAGGGCTTTTAAATATGTATCTATACATTTGTTGCATAATCAGAATTTGAATAGATATTTATTTACAAAATATGTATTATCTACATGTATTCCAATTTTGTCTATGATGAGACAAGGCAGCATACATGGCTGCCCTCCACTTTATCCTGTAAATTACTCTACAAAGAAAGTCAAATGGAGAGGGACTGGCCCCTGCGTTTCACGATTTGAATGCAGATCTCCTGGCATAGCTGAGCTCTGCTGTTTCTCTGCAATCTGTGAAAAGTCCTTCCCTCAGCTTTGTGCCCTGCAGTTTCCATGATATAAGAAAAGCATTAGCAGTCCTAATTCTGAAAAAAATACTAATGCAAAAATGCAAACACACATCAATTATTTTCCTTTAAACATTCAACTGAGTAAAGTTGTTCCTTTCCATTAGCAAATTTCCAGCTTAATTCATAGTTGAATTTAATACAATAGTTCCTATGACAGTTCAGAAGCCACACAACTAAGCTGTAGTTTACTGTGGCAAGAACTAGACCAGACAAGCTTTGGGTTGGTACATTTCCCCTCCTTGTAACTCCCATGCAATAAAGGGAGTTTAGAAACTTTTGATTCACCATGGTTTAGGTCAGGCTTGTCCAACCCAGGGCCCAAGGGCCGCATGTGGCCAAAGTCAGCTCATAATGCAGACCAGTGCAATTTTTTATTTTAAAAGAAATTCCAAAATTTCAAGTTACACTGCCGGTGCTTGCGGCTGGAATGTGGCCGGGGCATGTTACAACAGTAGAGGGGGAGAGAGGGAAGGAAGGAAGGAGTGGGAGGGGAGGGGACAGGGGGCTACCTGACTACATTGCGCCATCCCTGTCAATAGGTGGACCCCCTCCCGGTCCCATAAAGCCGCCGGAGTCGAAGCTGGCAGCCTCTGCTGTCTGAGATCGCAGCTGCTGGTAAGCGCGCTTGGAGTGGGGCTGCGGAGGATGGCTAGGGCTGCCCCCCCATGCAGCCCCAACCAAATTTTCATCTTCTAATGTGGCCCAGGGAAGGTGAAAGGTTGGACACCCCTGGTTTAGGTCATTCAAACCAACAAATGGTGCTCAGGTGGTTTCTTCAAGAACAATGCAACTTCAACCCATAGGACGATGAAGCTGCCTTCTTTACTTTGTGGAGGACACAATTTACAATCATTAATGGTAGTGTGTTGAAAGCAAAAGCTTCCCGATTCTCATGTGTGGCCCATCCATAGGAAAAGAGAAAAGAGGTAGGCCTTGAGGCTCAGTCAGCATGATAAATTATGTGGGATTTTTTTTTTTTTTTTTTGGGAGAAATCTGAGCACTGGCTCTGAACAGGATGGTCTCGTTTTGCTAACCTAGGTAAGATTCATGGACAGATATCTCTGCCAATAGGTATGTCTGATCTGCTGAGTGATTTATTTCTGAAACTGCATGTTCTCCTACTCCAGCTGAAGGATAAAAAGTTCATTATACATTTTGTCTACACTATGCAGAATTTTAAAAATATCTATCTTATCTCCTCTCTAAAATTGCAATCTTTAGAGGCTGCCATTTACCAGAGAGAAAACAGAATGGAACTCAAGAGGCCCATACCCTGTTCATGACAGCATAATGTAAAGTTACATTGGCAGCCATTATGCTCAGCAACAAGGAATTATGCTCTGCAGTTGTGCGATCAATCATGTATTCCCAGCACAACGGATTGCACAATGTGCTGGTGGAACCTATTCAGGGATAGCACTTCTGCCTCAGCACTCATGCAGTTATTACGGGTGCAAGTTGCAAATGGGTAGATGAACAGTAGGATTCTGACCAGCAAGACCTACTTTTGACTAGAGCAGACTATGAAAAGTCTCAAACACTTTAGCTTTTCTTCAGAGGGAAAGTTCTCCATTCCCTTGAACTTTTTCTGCACAATTTCTACTCAGTATTCCAATGCAGTGGCAACATAGATTTGCATGTGGACAATAAGATAGTGGCTTTATTTTCAGGAATTTCCTATTATTGTAAACCTGAACTCAGAATTCAGTTTCTTCCCATTCATCTTATTTGACCGAGGACCATGATTCAATAGAGACAAGACTGTTTCTGTCATCAGAACTGGGGGGGGGGGCGGATTACCCCCTGTCCTTTCAATGACAGCCCTGCTCCACACACAAACACAAAACTATCTCAGGCAGCTGGCAAACCCTCCCGAGACTGTTTTTGAGTTATGGAAGGACTGTGGCAGGAGAGGAGAAGGGCCTGTTGTCCTGGGAGGCAGAATGTTGAGTGTTGGCAAGTTACTTTACGATTTGCTTTTTTCTTCTATAACTTCACATTTTAATTTCTAGTTGTGTTGGGGACTGGATGGATAGACAGGCAGATAGATAATGTGTTCTTTTTTAAAAATCTCCTTCTTTGGAGAGGCTTATTATCAAGTTTGCACCCTTTTTAGTTGTTCTTGTTTGCGTTAAGACCTCTTTTATCAGAAACCTTTTTGCATTGTATTATATCTTTGATAATGTTTCTTAACTGTGTTGGCATCTTCTTTAACATCTTGGCACTTTTCTCGATTTGTGGTATATAGTAGTATACTTTATTACGGTCAAAGACCAGTAAAACCAAATCAATATAAAATAGATACATATAATTTTTGTTAAGTAAAGTCGGGCAAGGTAATAAAATTCCATTAAAACATGATAAAACAACCCTTTATTTCCAGTTAATAACATAATATATCCTTAATATAGGTAAAACATCAGGCAGTGTTATATTAAAAACATTATATTGTCCATCTAAAATCACCTACCCAAACATGTTTACCAATAACCATTGCTGCAGCACAGAATTTGGCCACTTGTCTTGTAATATAAGGGGTATTGTCAGAGAATAGCCACTGCACATAATAGTCCTCTGATCTCCCAGGAGATTTACAGATACTGTAATAGGTGATAAAAGCTCCATGCGAAGATCCCGATAACAAGTACAAAAAAGAACATGACCAACTGATTTGTGGTATATATCTAATTCATAATACTGACTTTATATTGTCTCCAAGCACTCTGAAGAAATTTGGTTTTCCTCTGTCTCCTTTTTAATGACTCAAGGAACCATTCTCTCTATAAGAATTTTAAAAATGTGATCATGCTGGCTTTTCTGGACAATCCTTAACTTGAATATCTGTTGGACATATCAGCATTACAGTCTGTTTCAGAGCAGTCTGACATTTTCATTTGCTCAAATAAGATTAAGGTAAGGTATGTCTAGATGTATATATATTTTTCTGACATCCCAGATAACCTCATGGAGAGGGCCCCACATAATGCTATGATATTAGAGGATTGTGGATGTACTACTCTTTGCTATCTTCTGTCAACATTATCTCTGTGTTAGGTGGTCAGTATTGCAGTAAAACTATTGTAGAACAGTGGAATTTCCTATACTAGAACTCTGCAAAGGTATTAGTAGAAGCGTACCCAGGTTGTTAAGAAATTCAGAGATATTAGTTCAATATTTTTTGCATTGTATTTTTGATCTTGGGAGATTATGAAAAGCAATGAATACTACAGGTTTTACTGCAATTACCAAAACCATTAATGACATCTTGCTTCTTGCAATTACAGGCATTGTGGCTTTGTGCACTATAGCCGTGATAGCTGTTGATCGTGCAATTGTGGTTGCCAAGCCTTTGGGAACGCTTACTTTTACCACTAGGAAAGCCATGATTGGAGTTGCTGTGTCTTGGATCTGGTCTCTTGTTTGGAACACACCTCCTCTTTTTGGTTGGGGAGGATACCAGATGGAAGGTGTAATGACCTCCTGTGCTCCAGACTGGTACAACAGTGACCCTATTAATGTTTCCTACATTATCTGCTACTTTCTATTCTGCTTTACAATTCCATTCATTACTATCTTGGTTTCCTATGGATATCTGCTACGGACTCTACGCCAGGTAGCATTGCTTTCCACAATATGCTGTGCTTGACTTGTTGAGCCTATAAACATTTATCACATTTATTTTAATACAAAGCAGAAGATCAAGTAACAGTTCATTTAAATTGGGCAGATGCATTCAAAACATAATATGGTCTAAAGTTTTGAGTTGATTGTTTTTAACTGGGTAGAGGTAGATTCATAAACGCTTCCAAGAAAAATAAGCACGCAGAACTGTAACCTGAGGAGGGGCAATCTTGGTGCACTTAAGAGATCACTCCATCCAGGTGTTCATAGTGTACAAAATTACCCATGATACTGATTTTAAATTGTCTCCAAGCATTCCGAAAAATATCAGTTTTCTTAGCACTCCTTTTTAGTGACTCATGGAAACATTCGAACAAAATTCCATGAACAATTTTTATGGGTTTTCACATTACACTGCAGGTGCATTTCCCCCTACTAATAAAAGACCTCCATTCATACTGTGGATGAGCAGTTGCAGCAAATAATGTTTTCTCCAACACACACACATCTATTATAGTGGGATCTGTTTGTTGTCTAGTTATGGTCTTTTTAAATTACTCACATGACCTTTCCAAACAGTGAATCATCTAATCCAAAAGAGGGAAGTAAGTCATACTTTAAGATGGGAACTGGCCCAGAGAAGAAACATTGCACTGTATTTGGATTGGTGGAATGTATTTTCCCTAATACCCTGAAAGCAGAATAAAGATCAGAATTAGACATGGGGACGAATATAAAAACAAATGATATTAGTTAAATATCCCTTATTCATCAGATATTTGTTGCTTTGTATTCTTGGGGCCCAGAGCCCCCAACAAATATGAAGCAACTAATATAACCCTTTTATATTCATCCCTTTGTTCCCTAGCTGCTTATGCCTCTGTGGATCAGCTGTTCTTCGGGGGGCATAAGCAGAGAGAGGTTCTCCGTTCGGACGGCTTGCTAGAGCTGCCCAAAGGGAATCTCACCCCCAGGGCTGGAGGATGGCTTGATTCCCCTTTCTTCCTTTTCCTATGCCCGTGCGACATAAGAGGAGGGAAGGGATCAAAGAGGGGTCAGAGGGATCCTCCAGCCTCTGTGGAATCGCTTTGATCCCTGCTTTCCCTCCTCATGTTATACCTCTCCCTCCTCTTGCTGTGGCCCGTGGGGCATAACAAGAGGAGGGGAAAAGGGATCAAAGGAATCTGGCAGCTGCGGCTGAGCAATCACTTTGATCCCTGCTTTCCTGAGCAATTGATTCGTTGTTTGTCAGGTCACTGGGGGGCAATTCATGGTTCCACCAAGATGAAGCACCATTTCAGTGCTTCGTCCCCATCTCTAATCAGGATGCTTCTTTCTTTCTTTCTTTCTTTCTTTCTTTCTTTCTTTCTTTCTTTCTTTCTTTCTTTCTTTCTTTCTTTCTTTCTTTTGCTAGTTGCATAACACTTTTAATTTTGAAAAGCTGTTTTAGGTTTTGTTTTAAAGTCATGTGCTTTCACACAACATAGACCCCATTTACCACTGCCGTCCCCATTTCTCTTTCCATAGAACAATACAGATGGCTAGAAAAGCCAAGGAGCTTGCTTCTGTATCCCATTCTCTATGAAAGGATAAGGGAACATGTGGCCTTTCAGATATTGTTGGACTGCAATTCCCATTGTTCTGCCCCACTGGCCATGCTGACAAGAACTGATAGGAGTAGCACTCCAACATCTGGTGGGCTGATTGCTCTCCATCCCTGCATTAATGCTTGCTTGATCTACATTTTTGTAAACCGATTCCTGCAAAAGCGCCCAATGTCTCTTGAACTCCTTTTCCCAATTTTTATTTTCTTGCTGTATGCTTGAACTTCTTGCTGCTTAAGGAAGGGAGCATGCCAAACAATACATTCTTAAGCACTTCTACATGAGTTTTTGTTCCAGTATTTTACACACAATGAAATGTAATCATCCCACTCTATGTTTTGTTTCTGATAGATACTTAATGTGCTATTTTTAACTAGGTGGCTAAAATCGGAGTAGCCCGAGGATCAACAACTAAAGCAGAAGCTCAAGTGTCACGGATGGTGATAGTGATGGTTATGGCATTCCTGATCTGCTGGCTTCCTTATGCAACTTTTGCCTTGGTGGTTGTGGGTAATCCTAAAATCTACATTAATCCTATTATAGCTACTGTCCCCATGTACATGGCAAAATCCAGCACATTCTATAATCCAATCATCTACATTTTTATGAACAAGCAGGTGAGTTTGAACTCAGTATGCAGCATACAAATCACAAGTGTAGATATTGTACTACAAGTACTGTACAGGATAAGAATCACAAGTGTAGTATGTATTGCATCTTTTTTAAAGGTAGAGAGCCTGGGGAAAAAATGAATATTTATCTAACCAACCCCATAAAGCCCTTTGCCCTCCCCACCAAACAAACTGACAAACAATCAAACTCTACCCTAATCTTCTCTATTATATTTGTTTTCTTGGGTAATTTCTCCATAGGTATGGACTTCCTTAAGTACATAAAATTGTTTAACTTGTTTTGTACCTATCCATGAATACAAGGTTTCATTACAGGCTCACAGGGAGCCTGCTCACTACAGTTAGATAAATGTTCTTTTCCGCAGATGTTTCGTATGTGCCTGACCTGGTTTTCAGATTACACAAAAGATCAAACATGCACTGTTGTCTGTTCTAGTCAGGAAGCAAATCGAGCTGTACAGCACAGTCTTGTATATACAAAGGACGGAGCATAATGCTCTTTTTTGATTTGTCCAGTGGCTTGCTGTGTGAAGAATTGTTTGCTGTGCTGCCACCTTGTGACTACATTTCTTTACACATGTGTTTACTGTAGCAATATGAATATACAGTACCTCATGTTTTCATCCAGGCACCTGTTTCATTAGGCATTATTTTAGCATTCTACATTTTTTGGAAAAACGACAAGAAAAATCTGGTCTCCTATATAGTCCTATATTGTGTAAACATGATTTTGAAATCGCTTCTGTCTGTATACATTTTTGAAATTATTATCTATGAGTAGATAATACTTTCTCCTGCTTTGGCATGAGCCCAAGTACATATACAAGTACATATACTCTGTTACTAATAAATATGTCCTTTGACTGGCATAATTATCACTATTTATCTCTTTTAAATATATTTAATTATTGTTTAGAAGTATATATAGTAGTGTACATCCGAATATTCTATCTTTAGAAAAAGACAGAAAAGAACTTACTAAATTTTTATAAAACTGCCTTTATTAACTAGCATACTTATTATACACACATATCCCTTTAAAATAAATTAACAAGGAGTCCCCAGTTAAACAACGGGCTGATTTGCTCAAATCAGCTTGTGAAGTTCAGCCCACCTCTAGCCTGTTGTGTAGTACCATAGTTCCCTTAGGGCTACCAGGCCATGATACTGCAGGAACAGTGGGTGTCATAGCTAGAGAATTTCTCTTGTCAGAGCAACATCTGTAGCTTCCATTAGATATCTAGTCTCATGCGTATCCTTCCATATTCCTTTCCTAACATCCATAGGCTACTTTGCCTCTGCCCTTAAACATCAGGACAAGTTTTCATAATGTTCCTCTGGTATGCCTTCTTTTGGCTCACTCGCTTAATTCGTTTGCATGTTGCTACCGTTGCTTCACGTTCTTCCTCAGTCTACTTGGTCCGTTTTCTTTATTTTTCAGACCTTAGGTCTTCCCATCTCTTGCCTTTCCCAGGCACCTTTCCTCTCATCAGCCAGTCCCTATGTAGAATTTTAATGTCAGCCAGACTGATATCTCTCCTTTCCCTCACAGAAGCTGTACAAGAAATCTAAAGTTTCCTGAACAAGCAATGAACATTCCATGCCACTGCACCAGCTCAGCCATTTAGTGTTAGACTTCATGGCCACAAAACACAACATTACATAGATATCAGAACTGAACCTCTTTAATAGTGCAAAGAGAATGTAGCTCCATCCCCAGAGTCTATTTTTACTAGGGGTTATAAAACTTCAATTTGCAAATACAGGCTGTAGCTCCACATAAAGAAGCTCTCTGCCTTTCCTCAGAATTTGAAGTCTGAGGAAATCTATACAGCTCTTAGCTTGTTTATAGGGCACCAGCTCATTCCTCTGCCTTTAATAGTAATTTGACACAAAGGGTTAAATCCAGTTGTTAGTCCCAATTAAAGCTGAAGGACCCATGGATTGATTAGGGCTTGTAAAGTCATACAAATCTATTGTTCCAGTAGGTTGACTCAAGGACTAACAATTCAGTTTAGTCCAAACAATAAGGGTAGCTCATGGCGAAGTCAGGATCTCCCTCAAATTTGGAAAGCTCCCTTTTCCAGTCCATGAGTCACGCTGTCAAATAAATTAAATTATGAAAATTATGCTATACCAATAGTAGTAAAGAGATAGGAAATGTATAAACTGATAAACATCTACATATCAAGTCTGGAGTATACCAAAGGCATGGCACTTAACATTTCGGCAGGAAAATAACATTGTAACACTTCACCAAGAAGAAACAATAGAAGTATAATACATAATAATACTTGGTATGGGCTAAATATATGTTAATACTGTATATTTCTTTTCCAGTTTCGTGATTGTCTCATTAGGTGTCTTCTGTGTGGAAGAAATCCATGTGCTTCTGAGCAAACAGAGGAAGATAATCTAGACGTTTCTACAATCAATCCTTCCCCTTCTTCAAGATATGGCAAAGTTTATCCTATATAGAACACATCTCAGTATTTTTTAAAAAATTTAAAGAACAATAATGTGCATGTTTAATTATAGATATAAGACTCTCTCTGTTTGGTGAGGCTTGTTTACTAGCTAGGAAGAGAATTTAAAATTATAGCCATTGTTGCCTGATATTATTCTGTTTAAACCACTATCAGCTCTTTTACTCTTTGAACAGTTGTTCAACTATACTGTACTATAGTGTTTCATGGGTATATACTGTAATATTTTGAAAATAATTCCAGTATTTGATATTATGTTTGCCTTTTTTTTTCATTTATTTATCACATTCTTATTTAAGCAGGGCTTGGAATATTAGCAAAAATATGTGTAATATATATAAAGTCATTTTCTTAACTATTGGTGTAACAAAATTTTAATTTGCTATTGTTATCAGTAAGGAAATGTTTAACTTGTTACAATCATTTTTCTGGGGGAGAAATCTTCACAAAAATTACAGAGAATGGCATAGATTTGGGCTATGATGCTCAAGCCAGGAGTATATCGGTTGAAAAGCAGGAACTAGAACCAAGAGGCCTTGTTAGCCTTCGTCTGATCATGAAGGAGACATGACTGTCCTCCTTCAGCAGTCTGTCATATAGGCAGACCGAAAGGCCTCTGGGGCTTTTCTCTCTTAGACAGATGATTCCACCACCATTGCCTGACTCCCCAGTTTGTATTTTAAAAAACTCATTGGTCTTCTTCAGACAAGAAAATGTACAGGCCGTGTTGCAGAAGCAAAGCTGCTTGCGCCTACAGTCCCACTGCAAAGATTCTGAGGAAACTGACCAATGTAGAGTATTTTTTTTCTCAAATATCCCGTTACAACTTTATTTATTTATTTATTTATTTGTTACATTTATAGCCCGCCCATCTAGTCGTACCGACTACTCTGAGCAGGTAACAACAGATCAGATCTAATGCAATTTAAAATCATAACAACATTTCACTAAAAAAAAAGGAAGCCACAATAATCAGATGGGAAAAAGGCACAGAGAACAATAATCAAATCCATCCCCGTCAATAGGTGGACCCCCTCCCGGCCCCATAAAGCCACCAGAGTCGAAGCTGGCAGCCTTTGCTGTCTGAGTTCACAGCTGCCGGTAAGCGCGCTTGGAGCGGGGCTGCGGAGGACGGCTAGGGCTGCCCCCCCATGCGGCCCAAACCAAATGTTTGTGCGGCCCAAACCAAATTTTCATCTTCTAATGTGGCCCAGGGAAGGTGAAAGGTTGGACACCCCTGATTTAGGGCTTTATACGTACTGTAAGCGTTAAAATAAGCTAATCAGCCAAAACTAATAAGCCAACATTTAGGGCTTTATACGTAAGCGTTAAAAAAAGCTAATAAGCCAAAACTAATAAGCCAGAATAAACTAATAAGCCAAAACATTTTACCTTTTTACCATTATACAAGAAATATAGTGAATGAAACTCTCACTATAGCACTATTCAGCCAGTGTTGTTGTTCTTTAAAAACAACAATTAAACTAATTCATTATTTATGTTTCTCTGCTCCAGGTTTAAGGCACTCGAGACAAATTAAATTAAATTAAACTAAACATTCAAAAACTAAAAAAGCAGTAATCAAAAAGAGACACAACTCAGTATAGACAGCCCTGTATTTGGAATGAAATCACATTTAAATATTTAAAGTCTGAAGGGATGAAGAAAAATAATTAATTGTAAAAAGCATAACAAATGAATTGCTGGATAGCTCAGTAGTTTAAAGCCACAGAGCCAGAGATTGGTAGTTTGATTCCCCACAGTGCCTCCTTGATGGGGACTAGGTTTGAAAATCCATAAGGTCCATTCCAGCTCTGCAGTTCTAAGAAGGTGTTTGTTATAGCAAATCCTGAAAAACAGAAAGAAGCAAGCCATACCTTCAGAGCGGGGAAATTCTAAGTTCTGGACACCATTGATTAACATGGCTCTACTCCACTGTGAGTACATCAGACCCTGATGTTAGGAAAGTGTAAAGGAAAGAGGCGAAGAGGATGACAGAGGATGAGATGGTTGGACAGTGTCACTGAAGCTACCAAGACGAATTTGGCCCAACTCCGGTAGGCAGTGGAAAACAAGGGAGCCTGGCGTGCTCTGGTCCATGGGGTCACAAAGAGTCGGACACGACTAAATGGCAATAATTCCACTGTGATTGGACAAGTCGGACACGACTAAACGACTAAACGGCAATAACTCCACTGTGAGTGGACACGTCCAGTCCTACTATTAGACAGAATGAGACAGCTATAGGAGATGCTTATATAACACTCTTTGATTCTATGGGAATATATATATATTGAAATGGGTATAGCAAATAAAAATTGTACAAAAATGGTTTTCTAAAACATATATATCATAAACACAAACTTTGCAAAAATTAGTTTTCTATATCTATCTCTATCTATCAACCATCTATCTATCTGTCGGTCGGTCGGTCTGTAAAATATTACAACGGTGATATGGATACAATTTATATTGTCTGAGTTCTTTCTACCAGTACTATAGCAGGAGCTGCTCAGAAAAACAAGGAAGAATGCAAATGTCTCTGTGAACTCAAATAAGGACAAAGTTCCAAATGTATTTATCAACTGAAGGACAAGAACCATAACATAAAGGAAAGAGCTTGAAGTATATAGTCTTTAAAGCTCTAAAATAAATTACATATGCACATACAAATATGAATTTACCTTCCCAGTACACACTTGCACAAACATATTGAAATTGTACTACATAGACCAAGGTGTCAAAGGCCTTGCTCTCCTCCAGGGAACAGCAGCTCCTGCCCTCTCCAGCTCTTTCTCAATTCAAATCTTGAATTCCATCCCATTCGTAAGATTTCCTCATCTATTAGGCTCAAATAGTGCATACAGTATGGGCTATACTTGGAAGCAGCAGCAAGGTAATGAAGAGCAGATCTGTGTGTTCTTTGCGGTTTGCATAGGCCTGTATTAAGTTAGAATGCTAACCTCAGATGCCATGGAGGGCACTGTCTCATCACCAAGTTGGCTCTTGCACAAAGAGCATGCTTTACCTCAGACAGCAAAACTGTTCCATCTAGTCCTATATTTCGACATGCTGCATAACAAATTGAGCTGCATGTCATTCGGCAAAACCTAAATCTAGTCTGTTGCTGAATATGATACTGAAATTACCACCACCAAGGACATTTGCACATGGGTAAAATAAATGTACCGTCTTCCTTTAAAAATAAGGGTAACACATTTGCAGACTGGCTCTGTAATCAGTGGGGCTAAAGTACATCAAAATATATAAAGAAACAGGCTTCAAGGCTGCAGTCCCAACATGCCTAAAATGAGCAGAGGAGGCTCCAAGTACAGTTTCAATTTCGATGACTCATTACTTGCTGTCGATGTAGCAACTACTATGATGTGTGTTTCATTATGTGTCTGTGGCATATGGCAGCGCTTATCAACCCCTGGTTCACGACCCAGTGCCAGTCCGTGGTCTTCCTTTAACTGGGCCGTGGACATGGGTCTCTGCCCCCCGCATGCACACATGTACGGGGGGAGCGTGTTTCACTTGCAGAGGGGGCATGTCATGCTCACGGGTGAGGGTGTTGCACTTGTAATAAAATCTGCCTGGCTTCTAATTTCAGCCCAACCTAGAGCGGGAGCAGCAGCGGTGGTGGCACTTACTTGGCAAGTGTGGGGCTTCCTCCCAGTCTCATAGGGGCTGGGTCCCGCCTGCCCCCCGAAATGCCCACGTGTCCAGAAGGGGGGGCCTTCTCTCTGCCTGGCAGTCTTCTCCCTTAGGGATTTGGTGCCACCAGGGCTTCTGCTGTTATCTCTCTCCCCCCCCCACGCTCTTTGTGGGTCACCTGGCGAGGCTGCTGCTGCTGTCACTGCGTCCTCTCTGCTGAGGTGAAGGAGGGGCCCCGCTCATAACCTGGCTGCACGCTTCTCCTTCCTCCCACCTGACGCTCCTCCGCTCCCTGCCCAGACATGCTGTGGGAGGGAGTGATGCCGAGAGAACAGCCTTATCTCACGTGCTCCCCTCTCCCTGTCTCCTTCGCAGCCTGCCGCGGAGGAGAGCTCGTGCCTGTCCATCCGTTGGTCTTGACGGTCTGTCGCTCATTCCCTCCCTCTCTCTTCCTTTCCATTTCCTTTGCTGCTGCTGCTTGTTTGCCACCATCACCAGGGCCAAAGAGCCTCGGCCACCAAGGAACAAACAAAAAGTATATGACTTCTGAATCACCCATCCCCTTCTGCCTAATGGCAGGACCAAATGCAGACTGAGAAAGGAAAAAAGTAAATTCAGTTTTTAAGCAAGGAACATCTTACTCTAACACATCCAATTGAAGAGACAGTGGTCTTCTCATCCCTTTCCTATTAGAGGCTGGATGTCATTGTGGCCATTCTGACCATACATGAAATAATTCTAAACAATGATATTATGTTGTATCCAGACCAATAATTGATTATTCTTCCTGCACTGCTACTTCCATTCATTTTACCTTTTACCTGTATGATCAGCAGTAACAATCTGTCACAACTGCTACAAATGCCATCTCCATCTGCAGCTCTGTTTAAAATTTTTAAGGGTCCAACCCTTGGATCTCTGTCCTTCAGAATCAAGAGAAAGAGGAGAGCTTTTTTTTTTCTTATGTCCAAATGGGAATGCCACTAGTTTTGTGTTTTCTTGATATATCAGCAATGCTTATTATGTGAGCCCTGTCTCAGTAATTCACCTCTTGTGTGATAAGATGCAGAATCAGTAGGAAATCAGTATAGTGTTAGGCCTGTGATTATTCTTGTGGATATCCTAGATTTGGAGGGGTGAGAGATGGAACTTTGCTAGTGGCAGTCAAGACTGCTTTTGAGGTGAACTGTGGAGCTGTTGAAAAAGAATGCAAAAGAGAAAATGTAGAGGAGACATGTAAACTGTCTGGAAAGCATTTGAGAATTTTTGTACTTAAAATATTCCACTGTGGTCCCTTGTTGACTATTGACACTTTGGAATATACAGTAATACTAT